ATACGAAAAAAGAGAATAAAGTAAACAAACGAGGTATGCCAACACACACACTTGCCTGATTGAATATACCCTGCATTGAAATATCAAATTTTGCAGGAAAAGCTCTAGTTTAGAACCAAAAATACCTGCATGAGTGCGAGCTAGTCTAGAAGTAATACTAGATTTTTCGATTTCATTGTAATGCAGGAAATATGGTAATATAGCCAACAATTTGTATACCCTGAACAGGATGTATTAAGTTTGCCACGCACTTTGTAACATCCAGAAGGAAACGTCGGACACCCTGAGCTAAAACGACTTAGCCATGTCCGTCTGTCAGTATATACTCGAACTAGTCGGACCACTATATCATATAGCCGCCATACAAACTGACAAATCAAAAAACAAGTTCTTGAATGGAAAATTTTTTTCTTATCTTTGCAACCAAAGTTAACATTTTCCATTGTATTTTTTATTGATGTTTCTAATTGAACTATGTTTCTTTGTTTTTTTTTTTTGAATTGGTATGAGACATGAGAACTATCGCTCCAACTAGTTGGCTTGTGACTAGTTGATTTCACTGCTGGGTACTTATGTACTCCTGTTGTGTTATGTTAATAGCATAAATTATATATTATATAATAATTTCACTGACATCAACCGGTAAATCTTATCTCAGTCTCTTATCTAACTCTCCAGTGGCTGTTGAAGTTAAAATGTACACATTTATATTTAAATTGGCATTTCCTCGTTGAGACATTTTACATACATACGTACGACATCTCAATAAAATAAAATATTATTTTGTTTTTCTAAAAATAGATGATTTGAAATCAATTTTTTAAAACCACTTCACTTCGATAAATGGGGGCATAATTTTGAATATATACTTTTAAGGGGCATAATCGTTTATTAATTTAGATAATTTCGAAAGAAAAGCTGTGAAAACACACAAAATTTTAATACGAATGAAGCTCACCGACCAGTCAGGTCCAACACCAATATCAACTCAACAACACCTTACTCGTAGATAAGAACGCCGCCATCAACTGTAATTTACCATCAATTCACATTTTATCAACACTCCATTTCATATTTGTATAGGTATGATTCAGTCAACAATGAGCCGACCAATTGGCAATCGGCAATCGACAAGCGGACAGCCATGAATCTTAAGCTCGAGCGCTCAGCGCCGTAATTCAATCAATCAATATAGCTATCCATCATTGGAAGGCAGCAACATAAAAAATATCGGGCGTAAATGGCAAGGAGCTCATCATTTTGACTGTAATTCGCAATTCGTGCTGTCAGCGCAAAAGCGGAAGAAGGCGCACATACTCAGGCATATAGCAAGCAAACGCGGTTGTGTGGGGGTGTGTTCTTTCGCCCCTAGAATTTTCGGTATAAAGTTTTTCTTACTCACTTCAAACTCTCAATTTTCAATTTGCTCTATTCATTTGTGTATTTGTTCTTCCTTCAAATTTGTTTTTGTGGTACGTGTGTGAAAATTAATTGGCATCTACAATATAAAGCAGACTACTCAGAAGCTACAACAAGGATAGGACAAATGTTAATTTCCGTACAATCCTCAGAATTCTGTCTTCTGTCTGTCTATCTGTAACATATTCAACAGTATTTCAAATTTGAAAAAAAAAACATCTATTTATTTCCTCACTGGGTGCATTTAATATCTATAAACAGGTTTGTTATTGTGTAGATTTTAGCCGCGAGGCTTTCGCTCGTACTAAATGAATTCCCTTTGATGATTTGACGCGAATGTTACAACCCTTCTTCGTGTTGTTGTTGCCGTCAATGTTTCTTAAACGAGTACATTTTTTTGCATACACAAAACTCTTCAGGATTATTATGTTGCGGTGCTGTTATTGTTGTAGCTCGGTTGTTGTCACTACCCGTTTTCAAAATTTACCGCAGAGCTGCTGGTTTTTAGTGTCCTGCTGGCACTTGCGCTTTGACTGACGAATGGTGTGTTGCTGTAGTTGTTGGTATGCCTGCCTTTGTCCCGAAGTGAGGCTTTTGTGTTGAAATCGTTTAATACCTTGACACCCTTCCTAGGCGATGATTTTTACTTCCGCTTTCCCCCTCATTTTAGTCTGTTTGTTGCTGTATATATGTATACGTGTACATTATTTTCGGCGTGGAACATATATAAGCGCTATTTTATTTCCATTCTAGCAGTTGTTGAATATTGCCCTCAGCTGCGATATTGAATAGCTCGTTCGCTCGTTTCTCACGCATCTCATCTTACGTTATGTGTAACTGTACCTGCTCGCCTTTGTATGTGTTCGGTATTCCTTTCGATGACATATGTGTTAAATTAATATTCAATTCAGGCGACTTCCTCTCTCTTTGAACCGTTTTAACTGTTCAGCCAGGTGTTTTCTCTATGCTATACAACGTTGTGCTTACTCTCCATATTCGCCTTAATTTTTCATGCATTTCCTCTTCATTATGTTAATTTTCATATATTCTTGTGGATGGTAGTAGATTAACAAAGGTTTAGATAAGACATTGCTTGGATGTTCTCTTTATAAACGGGACCTAAAGAACAGAAAAGCAGAACTGGACAGTCAACATATTGCAGTTTTTTCGTAGAATTGTATAACCAATTTTCAGATATCTCTGGGGTCTACTAATTCACGTAGTTTTCTATTTGATCCAGTTCCGTGAAGAATGTAATAATCTCTTATAAGACTCTATGATCTCGATACACCTCAGCAAATTCAGATCTAGCTTACCTGGGGTACACGTGGAAAAGAAATTCGAAGTACACGGCGTTTCAAATTCACTCAACTTGAAAAAACCGATATATATCAGGCAGTAGACAGTAGTATAAAAGTACTTATCTAATTGACATTACCTTTTTTCCTGTATTATTATTTGAATATTTCAGCTGCCAAAGGATACTAAATCCAATAAAAACTCTTAATAGTAGCAACTCCGCCATTATGGTTAAAATGCGAATAAAAGCTTGCATCGCTTTCTAACTCACTATTAACTTGGAAAAGAACATCTGTGTTGCCTTTTACGCAATTTCATTGCCTACAAATAGGCGTTCAACAGTGCGTGGCGCACATAGCGTCGATTTGTTACGCTTTTATGCTACATGTAAACACCCAAATATACCCACATATAATGCATACAAATGCATTGCCTTAAATATGACGAATAATAATTTGTCGAAACTGTTGCGGGCTGTTGGCAATCCAACCCCTCTTCATCATCATAAACTACGAGAAATATAATAATAACTTCGAATAACATAGTTTGAAAATGGGAACATCTGAGCATAGTCAATCCAAGTTTGAAAATTTTAAATAATACGGCAACCCTTATTTGAAAACTATTTCATTTCGGATTTTAATGAATCAAAGTAGGCAAGTGTTCTATATTATAAGTTAATAAGGTATTAAATAGTACAACTAGCAGTCAGGAACTTCTCCTGGTAATGAATGATGAAGTCATATACATTTTTTTTTAATAAATTAGAGTTTCCAATGTTCAGGCCGCTCAAACTTGGCCGTTTCTTCTTTGTTTGTTATTGCTATTGTTAGGCAAAGAGAAATGTCCTTCGCCATTAATCAACATTTATCCAGAGTTGCGCACGAAACACGAGCGAACAGAAAAACATTTTGCGATAGGAAACCTTAGTCACAGGAATTTCGATAAGGTGGTTAATTCATTGCTTGGCAACGACCTTATATGTCTACACCCTTCACTTTAGGTAAGAAGAAATTTGAAATTTTTTATGGAGTAATTTTCGAGTAAGGGTTGAATATTTCAGGGTTAGTAATAAATTTCCAAACGAAATATTTTTTTAAAGCGAAGCTACTTATGAGTCAGTTGCTTGTTTGACTTGCTTCCTTGTTAGTGTGATGTGGTTTGATGTGCAACTGAGGTTGTTAACCATCTGAAAGACATAAGGACAGACCACTAATTGTTAAGCTTGTAAGATCCAAGAGGAAGTCTTGCTTAGATATCTGAAGCAACATGAGAAATATTTACATGGCAGGTGCTAAGAAATGGCAGTGCGCTTCTCTATCTTCTTAAGACAGAAAATGAAATTATGCCAAAAAAACGTGGTTTATGTTTTGGAAAAACATTGTTTTGTGAAATTTAGAGTAACTATACCTTTACAAAAGCCAATGACCAAATTTCGAAATACTCCTTAAATTTATAAAATGGCTGGAAATGCCCAAAACGAACCCGCAGCGAAAAGCCAGTAATGGGCAACACATTATTTCATCTAGCAGCTGATAGTCCAGAGCTCAGTTTAGCTAAATCTGTGTATTGGAGCAAACTACCAAAAAGCTATCGGACGAGTGCCAGTGGCTCCCAGGAGCAATGTCAGGTAAGTACCGGCGTAAACATCAACTCGAAGCATAAAGTACTACGTTGAATAAGTAAGTTAGTGTGCGCACATACATATTTATGTGTATACATATAGCAAATGTACTAATGTAACGCATGAACAGCGCTCAGCTCGGAGGCTCTTAAATTACAATTTGCCTTCGGTAATTCAGCACAGCTTCCGACCTGTTGTGTCGCCTGTCACTGACTCTGATGTGTTTCTTTGCCCAAATAAATTTAAAGTGAATGTCTTCAGAACAAAAATACAAACCGACATAAAATTATTCTGCGTGGGGAGAAAATGCGCATGAGAACTCAAATCAGCATTAAGACTTGTACTTGTTGTAACTCACATAAATGAACTGTCTTGCTTAGCTCCTAGAACTGTTTGAGTTTTATATTTAGAAAAATGAAAAACAAGCTCTAATTTGTGCACCAATCACTTTGCGATTTATGATCATTTATAGTTAATTATTTCAAACTTATCAGCGTTATTTGCACAAGTGGTGGTCTTTTCAAAGTCGTATGGGATTGCAGAATGCCCTGCTCTAACTACACATGCATATATACTTGAGCCATAATGCACTTTTTGTATTGTGGATCACTTGCTATACTGCATTATTTATACTTATGTCATATTTACTTTGACTCACCTGATTTGTCTCTGCTGATATTCCTAAAATTAGTATGGCAATTCCTTCCGTTAGCTTATCTTCTGCCAAAATGTTCTTTAAACGCGTCAAAACCACAAACACACAGGTTATTCACAATTTCCAGCTGAACGATTGCAGGCGTGGTAGTTAGTTAGCTGGTATATTATTACACTTTCTCTTATTAACAAAACACAGCCCTGTATAGGTGTCTATATATAATTTTAATCTTTGTTTCAAACTACTTACTTTTCATGTGTGGATATTTCACCGAATTTTTATGTACTACACACATACATATGAATGATATCTAATAGCACGTATCAGTGGTTCTGCCTATAAGAAAAAATACTCGTAATTAAATTCGAGTCACGAAAGCAACCCTCTGTGAGAGATGTGCACGCTCAAAGACAATGTACAAATAATTAATGCCAAGAAACAACAACAAAATGATCAATCGAAATATTGATCCCTTTTACTTTCACATTATTAATTCTTTTTGTAATTGTTTTAAATGTTAACACACACCAACTTCTTTTTGTTGCTTCTCAATCTTGGACTTATTTCACTTATATGGCTCTTAAAAATTATTTTATAAAATTATACTTTTCTTAAAAGCTTATAAAAAATCCGATCATATTTCATTTGAATTTTAAATTTATTATAATTGAAATTAATTAAATTTATAACACTACGAGGTATATCTCAATATGACACATATTTAATAGGCATGTACATAGTTGTGTCAGAAATATGGTGTAGACGGAATTTAGTGGTTTGTCGGCAGTGATAAAAGATAGTGTCCTCAAAATGAAATAAAATTAGGAAGGCTCAACAGCTGATCTGATCTCTTGGAGTAACACTTCGGCTTTCAAATCAAATTAGTGAAGGTTTATGTGGGGCAAAACTCATCAGTAGCAGCATACAGAAAATAATTGCACTTCTATTAAAATAATTATTTTTATCTGTAACAAGCTAATTCGTAATATTAAAAGAGATATTCGACACATTTCTCAGTCAGTCTTGCAGGGACATTAGTTAAAGCATGGATACATTTTACTAAACAATTGATCCAATTGGTATTGATTCTTAAGGTCCACCAATCATATTTATATTTACTTTGAGACACACATATATATATGTGCATTGTGATTTGAAAAAATCCATTTACATCGCACGTTAAACTGGTTTCACTACTTTGCGGACGAAATTTACTTGCACAATCCTTTTAAGTGACGAATGGTCGCACGATTCGGTCACAAAATCAGCGATTGGATATGGAATTAAATGAAAACGAATAATCGAAAACATTAATTAGCAGGTGAAAAATCGCTGCTGCATACATACATATGTACATTATCGCCGTGGTCTACTGCAAAGCAAGGCGAATTGATTTTCCACAAAAATGTCTACTTGATAACCAACTGCATTGTACTGAAATGTTGCAAACACAAGGATATCGCAATACTGAACCCGCCGACATGTGGTCGAGCAAAGAAAATGAATGAGCGTTAATTTCCGCTCGTTCGTTCGTTACAAATGTTGCTACCGAGGCTAATGTATACCCATATGTAATAAGTGGGTACATACGAACATACATATACAGGCGAGTAATGCATAGGTAGCGAAAGGAAATCGCAACAAGTCGTGCGGCGAAGACTTCGGCGAAAGCCGTATGAGAGCGCACAATATAGCTCAACTGGCTCAACATAGGCTAGCGAACCACCAGCACCAACACCAACACCAGTATCATAATTGGCAACAACAAAAGCAACAGCGTGTCTAGGCGGTGTATGGGCTAGTATAGGTGTGGGTTGTACTTTTGCTCGTTCGAAATGCATCGAAGAGTACTTGTATAATGTATTATGTATAAAGCACGCATATGTTTCCATAGCCAATTTAGGACATGATAACCGCACAACAGCCGGCTTTTTATAACGACGTCGATGAAGAGAAGGGCGGCGGAGCAAGGCATTGCACGAACCGCCGCTTCGCTCAAATAATCAATAATGTTGTTGCTGGGCACAACAGTGTTATGAAATATACTGCCATCACCCACACCCACTTAAACTAACATTTGTATAACATAATGTATGCGCTTATAATACGAGCCTAACTGCAAGCGTTTCATTAAATGTGTTATCCACTAGGTAGTTCAATGCCACTGAGACCCTCAAATGCTCTTTGAGCCTTTATCACATTTTCAACTGACTGAAGAGATATCACCTTCACCGTTTCTTTTATCACATGAACACTGCACACTAACACAGATGTGTCCACGTGAAGATGACGGGTTAGGATCGGACAAACAGTCAAACGTGCTAAAGAGAGCGGGCAAACAATCTTATCGCCTTATCGTAGTTGTTGTAGCCGATAGTTTCAACGCGGTCGTTGAAAAATCAACAACACTCAGTTTTCTCACACATTATTTTTATCTACGAACATATCCATACACACATAGTACATATGCTCACATGCACTCGCACAGAAGTATTTCTCTTTTTTTATAATTTTTCGCCTTTCGTTAAACCGCATGAGGTGGGGTGGAGTAGGCATGCGAATTGCAGAGTACGCAAACGAACAAAAAGACTGAAAAACTTTCAAGCAGACATACTAAACACTCGGGACATTCGCTCGTTCGCTTTGATCCGCACGGCGACTATATATACGTAAATGCAAATGCCTAAACCTAAATATGTATTTACATACATATATACGGTGGCATTCGTACACGAAAACGAAGATTGACTCTGACCGTCTAGTAGTAACTTTTTGTAATCACTGGGTAAAGTGTATGACAAAAATTTTGTTGCTTTTCACTTAACGAACTTTTGCTTGAACCCAATCCAGAGGCGATTAATTGATTAGGGCTTTTATGTCACTTATAGCAATTTCCAGAACACTTTTCATTCAATAATATTTAAAATTAACGGTTTATTGTAATGAAATTTACATTTTCTTAAACTGATACGTTTGATGAATTCTTCGTTCAAACGATATTCCGGTAATCTATTATACTTCACTGTACTCGGCAACGGCTTTACTTTGACTCAATTCTGTGCAACCCAATTCAACTTGTATACTTTTTCGTGGCCCCCCTCAAGCGTTTTGGGGCGCATACGCTCTGCGATGGTATGCCTCTTTTTACATACGTTCAATACTCTCTCTTTTACAGGGTTGTATGTTGGTGTACTTTAGTGAAATAGGGCTACATTTTCCTCTAGAAATTTACTTGTTGAACAACATTTACTAAACACTTTATAAACCCGCTTTCTTTAACCAGATTGCTCTGAAAACTCGTTATTTTTTTAATTTGGGATTATTAACATAATTTTCAGTTTCTGGATTTGATCTTATTTTGCGTTTCTGAGAGTTATTTAGTCTAACAAATCATGTAAGCTCGATTATTTTGTGCAATCTCACATAATTGTATATTCTGATAATTATATGTAAATTATTTTTGAAATATCAGAATTACATTATTTAACATTTTTTAACCGAAGATATATATTTCGAGTATCCCAAAAATTTTTTGTATTTGGAGCGATTCCTATATGTCAAATTATCGTTTCTGGCAACACTATCCCGTAACACTTGTCTATACGTTCTCTGGTCTGTACTTGGTTTAGTTATCGGTTGTTTTTTGTTTGACAGTCGCTATTTTGTGTTTTTCTTCTTTTCCAAAAATAGTGAACAGCACATAGACAAAAATTTGGAAACGAAAAACTTTAATTTCACTTTCACTACGCTAAACAACTATTTCCGTTTTGCCTAGGAACAAAAAGCCGCCAATTTACGACGTGTTCATCTTTTGTTATTATCCAATTGTCAGACGTAAACACATGCAAAAGCAATGTCTATAATACGTGCTGCTTTGCAAATGATCACCAAGGCAGAGGAGTAAAAGAAATTGTTGAAAATATAAAACAGCCAGTAAATGATTAAGTACGTAAATTGAGGTGACCAACGACTACAGGTGAAGCGCGGGTGTTCAATTGTACTTAAGTATAACTAGTGCGATAGATAGTTAATTGAGTGTTAGTAATTTTTTAGCGTAAATATATATTAACTACGAAAAATTCGGAATATTTAAGGATCTCAAGTTTCGAAAGTGGTACCAGGTTTTACAAGAAATTTGGAGCATTACTTACTAGATGCATGCGCAATCTGTACAAAGCCGAATCCTGCACATCATCCTATAGCTAGTCCTTAGAACAAGCACACATACTTATACCCAATCAGTTCATGTCAGCAGCAATGGGTAATTATGATAGTGATGGTAAAAAATCAACAGCCTTAGGAAGTTGTATGGCGGCACTAAAATGGATACCAGTCATATTCATCGCGGCTGTGATCGCATGGTCCTATTACGCGTATGTGGTTCAGCTTTGCTTACGTACGTATCAAACATAAATATCTCGTTCGCGATAATTTAATTACATTTATATATTTATTTGCAGTATCCATCGACAACGTCTTTGAACAAATTGTTTTTCTGATATTTTATCATATAATATGTGTGTTGTTTTTCTGGTCCTATTGGAATACCATCTTTACACCAGTCGGTACAGTTCCCCCAAATGTAAGTGCAAGCACACAATGGTGTGCGTTGTTGTAAATATGTGTATAAGTTTGCGGTTTAAAGCAATCGTACATTTCACAGTTATCAATTCTTATCTGAAATGTTGACGTAATTTATTATTATTCCGAAAGTCCCCTACTTAACTTCATGTAACAGGTGGTGGTTGTATTATATAGTAATCGAAATGAGTCAGTATTTTATAAAGCATACAATCAGCGATCTATTAATATGTATGTGTGTGAGCACAGGAATGAATTATTAGACTGTTTTGCCCGCCAACGTCAATGCACGAGTCAGTTTGTTAATTTTTCGTCTTCAACTTTAGTATTTAGAAGCTAAACCGGATACATTATGACAACATATTTGAAACGGTTTTAGCTAAATATTTTGCAAATCTGTTTCTTTTTTCTAAAACTTAGTAAGCAATAAAATGAATACCTTACACCTCTCATTACAAGACTTTACCTAAAAGCGTGAAGTCCGATTTTTTTTTTCTTTGGGAAAAACTTAATAAATAAAAAAATTTAAATTGAATATGTTGTTTAAGACTATATCGCCAAATCCGTCAATGAGTATCGAACGCGTATTCGTAATATTTCTATAAATCAGACAAAATTGGAGTTCTCCACGAAGATTATCAGTACGGTATAGCGGTATATGTACTTAGTTATTTGTTTTTATTAGGGATTCTTGATATTTATTTAAGGGATTCAATTCGAACGAAGCCACGGGTTAAGCTAGTTACATAACAAATTATTTATCTGCTTATCTGAAACTCTGATTCGTTATAATTTTTGTTATATATGTTTATTTTGTTTCTCAACCTCACAGTGGCGAATTCCAGAAGCAGAAATAGAGCACATATTTCATGCTGACACTCAGGATCAACAAAAGAGAATACTAGAAAATTTTGCCAAGACGCTGCCAGTCACAAATCGGTTTGCATAAAATTAATTCTATCAATTTCTTTAATTCAAATTTATGTCTTTCTTTCTGTGTTCATTCGTTGTTAGCACACTAAATGGTTCGGTGCGTTTCTGTGAAAAATGCAAAATAATCAAGCCAGATCGTGCACATCACTGCAGTGTCTGTGGTGCTTGTGTACTCAAAATGGATCATCATTGTCCGTGGGTTAACAATTGTGTCAACTTCACAAACTACAAATATTTTGTACTCTTTTTGGGCTATGCGTTACTTTATTGCCTATATGTGGCCTTAACATCGTTGGAGTATTTCATACGCTTCTGGCGGGTAAGTGCAAACACACACACAAATACTATTTTGTCTTTGCTGTATGCATGTAGCATGTTTTGATCAAGTAGTTGTTATTATTTACACTGAATTCCATACAAAATCAAACAATTACAAAATTGTTCAAAAATGAAGTTGGAACTTTCACAACAGGGCGATTTGAATGGTGGCATGGGACGGTTTCACATAGTGTTCCTGTTTTTTGTGTCGATAATGTTTGCAATAAGCTTGGTGAGCCTATTCGGTTATCATGTCTACTTGACGCTTATGAATCGTACAACGTTAGGTGAGCTAATGCAAAAACATATTTTTATCGAATTGAAAACAATTCCCTAATTAATATACCTTAACATCTTTAGAGGCTTTCCGTGCGCCAATATTTCGCGTTGGTGGCCCAGACAAAAATGGCTATAATTTGGGTAAATACGCCAATTTCCAAGAAGTGTTCGGTGATAACTGGAAACTGTGGTTTTTGCCAGTCTACACGAGGTAACTTTTCTTGCTTACATGATTTTTGTATTTGCCTCTCGTAGTATGTGTATTTTCAACATTTTTTATTTGTTCACAAATTTTGATAATATGTGCAATTTACGTGTGTGTGCAGCTTTTTCGTTTTTGCAATTTGTTAAATGTTATTTGCTGTAGAATGTGAACTACTAAGTTATCAGTTTTCCTCTGCCTTAAATATACTTCCAATTCTTATTTTCTGATCCTTTAACTATTACTGTATGCAAATAGCATTTTTATAAGAAAAAAGTGATTTGGCAAATTAAAAACATGTTCATTACATATCAGTTAGTTATATCCGTTTATTCATGCGCAATTAATGTGAGCATTTGTTTTTTACTATTGTTAACTATGATTTCGTATTCAATCTGAATTTTAGTTATTTAATTCAACGAATGTAGTCATAAGTTTTTAATAATATCTCAAAATAAGAAGATTATTCCATTTAGATTTTATCTTTGTATTTGTTGTGAACAGGAATTTAGTATGTAAGTATGAGCAGGATCGCTTGCCTTGTACAATTTTTTAAACTTCGTTAGTAAGATTAAATTATTTAAACATATTCTTACCGTCTTGAGTGTTTGAACTAGATATGAGAGCATGTAGGTCACTGGCTCTAAGATGGCTCGTTAGACTGTGTTCACACGAGGACCTGTTTTCAGAAAAGACGAAGAAACCTTGCTCGTTCTTGTGTTCGGGTGTCATGCTTTGTGTTCTTGCACGTAACTGTTCGCAGCTACGCAATTCGGCATACCGTTTCATTTTGAAATTCATTTGATGGTGCAATAGTGTTCGGCTTTAAAAGAATATTTACATTGTGTTCGGAAATTTGAATTTTATTACCTATATAAATATGAATGTATGTAAATATCCATCAATAATAAAAAAATTTTAGAAACGGGTGAATAACGACACAAATTGGCTAATCAAAAATATTTTTTTGCACCGCGTACATTAAGCGTTCAAGAATTAGAGAATGTGATATGAAAGAAAATACAGAAAATTGTGAAAGGTGAGAATTTAAAAAAAAATGAACAACAAATGTCCTCGTTTGGACGCAGTCTTATTGGGATTGCCAGTGTAATATATAGTGTGAAATATTAACAGTCGGAAAGTGTGTTGAGGTCTATGGTTATTTTGATCATGAACTTTCCAAAAAATATTTATATTGAAAAAATAGCTGCTTAGTTCTTATAGCTAACTTTCTTTTACTAATCGCAATGAAAGTCGCTTTGACTTAGTTGACTATAGTTTGACTGTGAACTATAGTTGACTATGACTATAGTTTGACTATGAATCCTTCTTCCAATCCCTTCAAACAATATCTTTGTCCACCCTACTGTCCTAAATCTGCAGTGCATTCTGCGCAAAAGACGAAATAATTAAATAGAAATGCTGCGCACACAAAATAATAATAATAACACATTTAACTTTAAACGCCCGTGGATAAATTACTAAAACCAAATAACTAAATTAAACAAAGAATAATTTTCATTACCACACTCATATTTGTCGCAGTGTCGGCGATGGATTGACGTACACAACTCAAAAGCAGCATCAGATGCAGTCATATGACTCCATGGGCGATACCACACAGCGAACCAGGTTAGCATATGAACCATTAAAACCAGTTACATAGTGTGCAGATAAGTTCAAATGTAATGTAGCAACTTGACAGCGCTAGTAGAACCGAAATTAAAAATTACTCACATTGTTGTTGATTTCCGAACTGTTTTATGCTACTCGCAGCATTTTTTCTTATCCACGCCATTACAATTTCACATTTCTTACACTAATTTGAGCAAATACCCATACACATCTTTTTTGTTATTGTTATTATCTACATCAAACAAAAAAATGAAAAAAACACAGCCAACATGAGTTGCTGCGCGAAGACGATACACTGCCACTGAATTTGCCTGGCGCCGCTGTCGGCTCAGTATCTGCGGCTTCCACTGCAACGGTAAAATCGGTTGGCGCTGGAGTAAATGGAATGGTGGCTGTAATACCAGTTCAGCCGGCACAACCGGTGGAAGCGACAATACCAGCAGCGGCCGACATAGAAGTTTTAGTTGTGCCAACTATGGACACTGCCAACGGGAATGTGATCATCAATATGAGAGACTTAGAAAGCAGTAATGACGAACAACAGCACGAACGAAATAATCAAAACGTTTAGAATTAGCTCATTATGCGGCTACATTCATATATAAGTTCGCTGCAGGATATTCCAACGATTAGTCATTTAAACGATTTAAAATTATATAAGTAATTAAACACCGCGACGACTTCAACTGCGCTTCGAAATCGATAGAATTAAGCCGTTGAAGAGCACTTAAATATGCCATTGGAATTGAGATAATAATGAAGGCCATTCGTAGGCCTTTTTAAACCGATATTTATAAACTTGAAAAGATAAAAAGAAATTAATAGGGTTAAAACGAGACTTTAAAGATTTTCCAGTATATTATAGCTGAATCGTTAAAAACCTACAATCCAGTTTATTAGCACGGAAAATATCTTGTTGCTTATGTAATTTAGTCTTGTTATATTGCAAATATTTCCCAAAGTAGTGTTTTTTTTCAGTTTCGTGTTGGGGACGTAGGCGTTGACGAATGTCAGAACGCTGGAAAATTTTACAATATAAACTGCATTTAAAAAACTAAACTAAGCATATGATCGCAAAAGAGAAGTGTCAGAATATTTGTAAACATTTTGAATCAATGATATTTTCATACATACCTAATAATTAATAGGTCATATATATAATAAATTTGTTTTAATTTACTGTTTTAAAACGTATTTTAAAATTTGTTATGAACAAATGTCTATCTGTATATATATATATATATATATATATATAATATATTTATACATGTGTACAAGTATCCATTAGAGTAATGTTAAGTAAATGCTTGTTAGAATAAGCTTTTTATACTTTAATTTCTCTTGGTATTTTATATGTTTTCCATTCTAAAATATTTTAATTTAACTCTCATTTTTGCTTTTCATGTGATTGAAGCCTCTTTCAACTTATTATGGGAAAATTTAAATAAAAAAGGCATGTAATGCCAAGTGGCTAATAGCTCACAGTAGCTCATGACATTAGAGTGATTTTCCCCTTTAACGACCATTGTCTTTGTTGTCTATGGTATTTTCAATGCTGTATAAAATATTAATTTATCGATGTAATACCCTCATGCTAAGTGTGTATATTTCACTAAAAAATGTAATTGGTTCTATCTATTTACCTATCTAATATATACATACCTATATACATACTTCGTAATTTTGTAATACATTCATAACTAGATATATAATTTTTAATACCAAAATCCATACAATGAATTCTTAAATATTTTAAATGTATTTAGTAGTTTCTTATTTGAGTAAAAGAGTAAAGGAATTATGCCAAACAATTTTGTGTTTTTAATTTGCCAAATTCACTTTCAATGGCTAGTCAGCAGTGTTTTTGAAAGCGCCGAGTAGTTGTGCATGAAATACACTTTATTCATAACTAGATTTTATATCAAAATTAAATGTTCGTTAATTCGTGGAATGAAAACTTGAAAAACATAAAATTAAACGCGCTGCAATACGGAGATAGCGATGCGACTAGTAAATGCGTACAATACGAAATTCCGATCATAAATTAGCGAATCATGGGAAATAAGAATTCATAATTAGAGTTGTGAAGTTGTGGGATTTTTCTCTCTGTATTTAAGTATTGTATGCATTTCATAAAATTTGATAATCTTCTGGTATTTATGTATACCATATTTATCTGGTCGAATGTCAAAGCTTCTGTTCTTGAAAAATTTATATTAGCAATTATAGCACACATACACTTCTCCCCTTTTCGAACAGCATGGGTGATGGCATCAGCTATCCTATACGTCATTTAGATGAGGATGCCGAATCGTTGCTGGGCAATAGCGATACGCGCATTGAAATGGAGGAGGATGTCTTTCCAGAGACGCGTTTTCACAACACATATATTCCATAGTTGATAATTTCTGACGATAACGTGGCTTCTTATTATATTTAGTTTAGTATTGAAAGACGGAGTCTATTATTTTACGTTACTCACTTGATACATTTTTAGAGTGTGATTATTAAATTGTTGAGTTATTATTAAGGTCACGTTCTGATATTGTCAAAAACTCAACGAAAATATGCAAAATTGTTAAAGAGAAAGTCTTATAATCATATGTGTATTATCTATACATTAAAACTTAATTTCGATGGCACTGCGTAGTTCCATACAATATACAAATATACCGACGCAGTGCTTCATGGATACTTCTGAACCCGACTGACAAACGAAATTTGCAACTTTCAAGCTTAAACCAGCGGGAGCGGTTCCATGCAGTTTCCATTCGCTAAATTTTGTGTAGCGAAAAAAGGAATACAAATGTATGTAGGTATTGAAAAAGTATTACAATTAAATGAAATTATAAAAAATAATGTATGTACAATATATTAGTTAATAAGTTTCATACCAAAAACCATATTTATACAGATGTATGTGTGAACGTATTTCATATCAAAGCAAAAATGTGGCAAGGAGGCAATGTAATTATAATATTTAAAAAAACAATATGCAAATAGAAGCAGAAAAGTGTAATTATTTTCAATTTCATTAAATACGGAGTATTTTTCATAATAAAATTTTAATTTAAATGCTTTTAATTTTGCTTAGTCTGTAAAATGTGTGTCACTCCTGAATGTTTATACTCTAAGAAGCCTCGTATTGCAGCTTTTTCAGTTCAATGCTCTTAGTTAAAAAGCTCCGTTCGTTGTTAATAAGTCTTGGAAAACATGCTGATCCTGACGACTGTGGAGGGGTTTTAGATGAGCTATGTTACCAGCAGTTTTTTTTAGACTCGTACATTTAGAGGTTTCATGCAAATAAAAGTGTCTCACATGTTGTGCTCAGGCACATTTCAAGTTTTAATTCACCTTTTTTAGTTAGTTACTTAAGTGCTATTTTGCGAATTAAAATCAACAACCATAGCAGATATTTTTAAAAATTGAGATAAACATTTATTATACAATAATATTTTTATGTAAATGTATGTAAGAGCATGCACTGGTACCTAAAATAAATATAAAAAAAAATATTGGGTTTTAGTAAAATTTATTGAAATTGAGTAGAAACGCCTAAAACTAGTTAAATTTTTTAGATACAATCAAATATAAATCAATTAAAACAAAAGGCCATAAAAAATCCTAGGTATTAGTGAGTATTGTAAAAATAATGCAAACCAAAATTAGAATATAAGAAAAATGTAAACAATGGCAAAACCAGCATAACGGGCATAACTGTTTCGCACAAAACAAAATTTAAAATTTTATCAGAAAATAATGGCTATGATGGGCATAGATGTGAGCAAATAGGTGTGTGCATACATATGTAGGTCTGCTCAGAACAATATAAACTACTGTGACACTGATTATTCATCTGTAGTAAGTACAATATAATTTGCCATTGAATACACTTATTTTCTTAAAAAAAGGCTCTACGGTCGCAAAATGCAAAGTGAACTGGGATACAGCATTTATAAAGACCCTGTTAAATATATATGTATGTGTATATTTTGTTCAGAGTATGTAAGCTTCATATATACAAGCTGTTAACTCTATTTAAGTGGAGCTTGCAAAAATAGCTATTCCTAAGCGTGAATTACTAGAAATAGATAATAAACTTTACACAAAACATATATTTTTGGGTTGATTTATTGTGGTGGAAATTAGACATACCAATATATTTTTTATACAAAAAAGCTCATTATGATTATTTACACATTAACATGTAAAAAATCATATGATTTCTTGAAATAATGTCCATAGTTACATGTGTATGTACAAAAAGTATCATATTCAATTTCATCTTAAGAAGGTACATACATATATCTTTGAAATTAAAAGGACAACAAAGGTATATTGTTTAAAATGTTTAAAAATAATTTTTAATGTAATAATTATTTCATTTTCCTATAATAATAAATAAACATTAATTTGAAAACCAGCTAATCAAAGCGGCTTAGATCGCCCAACCCTTTTGATGGTACCATTGATTTGATCTCATTCGTTGGTACTACTTCGAAGTCGTCATCAATCGTACTCGACGCATTATTAAATTGCCTTGAAGCTTCTGAAGTTGCGCGCTTTTTTTCATTTTTTGAATTCGCAGGTGTCGCTTTTCTTTCCATTTTATTCTTTCGCTGCTCTTTTTGGTTATCCTCATGACTGTTTACATGTTCATCAAACTTACGTTTCTTGTTTTTCTTATTATTTTTAATCACATCTGGACGGATGCCAGTATCATCACTGCGTGGCAGTTGGTATTCATCAAGTTTCTCCTCTATTTCCGGTACATTGGGTTCGAATTTTTCCTGTAGTGCTGCCAAAGCAATTAACAATGCCTCCTCAGTACGAATTGTACGCGAGCCTTGACGTGGTAACACATTTACATAATGATCGAAGAGTAGAGCAGGGTCATCAACATTCAGTTTTTCATCATTTGCCAGGGCCGCTTCGAGACCTTTTAAGCCGCCAAATACAATAAGTAGATGGTTGAATTTGTACGAATGATTTGGCACCTTGTGCACATTAGTTCCACGATCTGAAGTACCTATTGTAAGATCATATCCTCCTGCATAAGGAGACTTTGTGAAAATTTCAGCAAGAGAATGAGCAATCCGTACTGTATAACCCCAATAAATTCCTGTTTCTCGTCGGGGTTCTTCTGGACTGACAATTTTGCCCCGCAACTTCTTGTTGTTATCTAGAAAAATTGAAAACCATCAAATCTGTATCATCAATGTGATGAATTAAGTGAACCTTTTACATTGTCCAGTTTAACTGTGACGCGGACACCTGGTTCAATGGCCTTATTAACCAACACGTCATTCAATAAGCCCACGTTAACATATGAATGCCCGTCTTTTGCCTTTTTGTCCGAAATTATGCCTTCGCGATATAGAAATACATTTTGTTGACGCAAGTGATGTGGCGTATCCAATGGATTCAACAAGCCCGAGTACTGTAAATCCTTATGTAAGGGGAAAAAGTACTTTCGTAGATACTGAGGACATTCCAAGTACTGAAGGATACGCGCTAATTGTAAGCAACTACTCCGCACTGTCGTCGGCCAGGAGTCACCACCGTTTGCCTTTTCTTTATCATCATCAGAATCATAATTACGTTTTGTTTCACGTGCCGTTGCCACACCCACATCATCGAACACTATTAGTTCATGTACACGGAATATACAAGCAGAGCGCGCAATTTGGCCGGCTACATAGGAACGCAGTTCGGCAGATTGTGCATTCTCTAATATGGAACCTGGTACCGCTATGCTTATTGTTGAAGGTTCTGCTTTAAAATTGTCTATACTTTCTATACTAGCCTTAGCTGCTTCGAGGACAGACTGTGAATTCTTCTCCAAATCTTTGAGCAATTTCTCCTGTTTACGTTGCTTTTTTAATGCTTTTCGTTCCTCATTAATTTTTTTCCACGATTTTGGTGGCTCCTTTCCTGTCAAAACTGGTGGCATTTTAATTTTTCAACAATTTAAAATTGTTTTGCTGCTAAATACCGAAAAATGAACTTAAATGAAATTATAAAAATTGTTTATAATATTTGAGATTGCACGTGTGGAAAATGACAAGAATTGGTGGTGAATATAATTATTTGACGGTTAATGATCAGCTGGTTATCTTAATTTTTGTTTTGATATTTTAATTTGGAGTTTTGATATCAAACATTTGGAAAGTTCTGTTTGTTATTTACAATAAAGGCTTCAAATTTAAAGCACAATGAGCCGAGAAGTATTGGCACCACCAATACAACGAATGGACAACAATCGCTGTTATCGTGTCAATTTAATACATGAAGACTTTGGTAATCAACGTGCAGCTATGCAGCGCAAAGGACATAAACCTGAGACAACAAATCCCGAAACTGCATATATGGAGCAAGGTATGTACGAGTCTCGTTTTTACCATATACCCATCCTATATTCGATTATTATTCTAGACCTGTATGCCGAAGATGACGATGATGAGCAAGAAGATAGCGAAAACTTCCAAATAGAGGAACTTACAAGCGGTCATTATAAACTGACTATGCATGTTGCACAGTAAGGGGCTATTATCTTGTCTAGAATGCTCATTTATTGGGAATGTCTTCATTTTAGGAGTTTTTATGGTGGCTTGATCGGTTTCAAGGGCAACACGAAGCGGCGGATTGAATCAGAAACGCGTACAGACATTTTTATTCCACGCGCTAGGGAAGGTGGTCTGAAACAAGTCGAAGATATCACTGTAAAGGGTCAGTTGTAAATATCTTTATATTTTAAAATGTATATCACTTTTATATCTTTAATTTCAGGTAAAACACGAATAAGCGTTATGATGGCTCGTAGAAAGATAAATTTGATAATAGTTTCTCTGCGTAAACGTATGCGACCAACGCATTTTACCTGTGTACCATTAAATTACGGTGAAATAAAGGAACGATTCTGTGAATTTAAGGTACAAATATAATAACTTGTATATGTATAAATAGACTTATATAGATTTACTTATCGTAGAAAGAACTTCTGGAGCTTAATTTGCCAGGTATTGATGAAATGCTTTTCCAAACTGAGGAGTGCATACATTTAACATTAAGCACATGTATATTGCTAGATGCCGCTGAGCGTTCTAAAGCTGTCGAGATATTACAAAGTTGCAAGTACGTGATATTGTTTATTATTTACATATTATATGTAAATTAATATTTTTTCAATCAAGGATATTTCTCTCCGACCTACGAACACCATTTCAAATTGAAGTTAGGGGACTGGAAATTATGAATGATGACCCGAGTGCTGTACGCGTGTTATATGCGCGTGTAGAATCGCCTGAATTACAAAAGTTTGCTGATTTGGCAGTGCATCCATTTTTGCGTAGTGGTTTAGGGTTTAATGATTATGATCGAGATAATGTGAAATTGCATATGACTATAATGAATAATCGGTATCGTAAACAGTTGGACGCGAAAGCAGCAGGCTCTTTCGATGCACGTGAAATATTAAAACGTTACGGTGATTACAATTTTGGTAGAGTGGAGTGTAGTGAGGTGCATCTGTGTGTGATGCATAATACATCGGGTGATAAACATGGAACATTCTACAAAATCACTGGAAGCTTAAAGTTCTAAAAAGGTGTTAATAAATATTAACATTTTACTTACACCGTTAATTTCCAAATAAAAATGGTCGTCTTCATAGTTTCTTTATTATTCATATATCGTGTGTGCTTATCTCAATTCATGTTGCACCTCTAAGTTTTTTTTTGTAGTACTTCTAAATATGAAATCACTTTAAATGCAAATAAAACACTTTTAACTATCTTTTAAAAATATCTGCATTTATTCTTATCTTTCAATATTGGTAAATTAATCGTGTACTATATTACATTCAAAATTTTCACTTATCTAGTTCTCTTTTTTTTTTGTTGTAAACACCGATTTTCATACCATTATGTTTTTTGTGATTTTTAGTAACTTTTTTTTAGCGTTTATAACTTTTCACCTGCTAGCTATGCATACATATTTATGTATGTATGATTGTTAAAAAAGTATTGCAAATCTAATTAAAGCATAATTCATTCCATATTGTTTAGGATTTCTCGGTCACTTTTGATTAAAATGCTAATTTGAAAAAAAATTGATTTTTTGCAGTATACGCAAATTCATTGCTTTAAGTTTATTTTTAGAAATTATATCAAAAAAGGTATCAAATAAGGTAACGAGTTATGAATCAAATATTTTTGATCAGGAAATAAGTCAAACTTTATTTGCACATGAAAGGCGACAAACACTATGCTTTCATTTAGATAGGAATCAAAAGAAAATTTTTTTATGCGACGAAGACTATTAAACGTTTGATTAAATAAAAATCATGATCGATTCTGCTCCTTTTACGTCCTTTCAGAACCAGCCACAACATTCATAGCTTTATCCAAAAAGGAAGTACATATAAAGTAAGCACTAATATCAAATTTCCCATATGTATAAAGTGTTATTCCATTAGTACTAGTTTTTTTAATAAGTGTATACAAAGTATTCGTAACAAATAATTAAAAAAGTTGCGCATTTATTTATGCGTTACACGTTCTAAGTGCCATACGCACAATCATACAAACGTATTTGAGGCGATTTTTTTGTTGTAGCGCGTATAATTTCAATTTATCTTTCACATTTAGTGTTTTGTTCTTTAACTTAGTATAATAAATTCATGTTGTTCACATAATTTATTTTTTGTTTAGGATTTCTTATTTGTCTTTGCTGTTTTTTGTGTTTGTTGCTATTTAGTTTTCTTTTTTACTGTTACTAATTTTCAGTCTAAAAATTGTGAGTTATCTGTTGCAACTCTTGTTGCTGATTTTTCGTGTTGTTCCGTATTTATCTACGTATGTGTATATGTGTATATTTAAATTACTTGTATATTACCCTTTTGTTTAGCACTGCATTTAAATTGTTGTAAGACATTTTAAATATCATAGACTGGAAAACGTTTATAACATTAAATCGGACAATCAACTACATAACTTGATTTTTACTACATAACTTTATTCATAACTTTTATTTATTTATGTTTCTACACTCCTGTAGTGTTTTGTATAATTTTTGGCGTAAAACACTACTGAGTGCTGCCTTAGAATTGCGTGGGTTTACTCACAGCATATGTATGGATAGTAGTATGTAGTTATGTATATAAAAAGTTGGCGGACAGTCAATGGAAGTTAGTTAGAATGTTTCATGTGTTGGGATATATTGTGTTTTTTGTAAAATGATGAACACAATTAAACGTATAGTCAAATTATAAAAGGTAAACTAGACATTAGCATTGGATTCAATAGTGGCCCATTTCACATTGCATCTTTTAGGCGCAACTCAAGCAGTCTTTAAAAATGACTATGTTAATAATTCCTGTGACAGATATGTAGTAATAACACCATGATACAAATATTATGGTATTCTGTTTACTGCATTGATGACACACATTGAGTTGTAATAAATGCAAATACTAGTATATATTTCATAGGCAATAGATATTTAAAAAAATTGTAAAAATATTTGTTTGTGTACACATATCCGGTATTCGTTTGTAGTATAGTATTGTTACCACATGTCTGTAACAGGCATAAGCTCAATATTCGATAAGAATAATGATGATTTTGCCTTTAATTTACAACTCCCGCCTTGCCCTATTCTGAACATTTATAACTATGTCTATTACGAAAATATGATCCAAATTGATGTAAATTCCTTCTGATTTTGAAGTGTGAATTACGTCGACTGTAAAAATTAACCCTTTAATATGTAAATATTTCCTACACTCAATCATCACTAGGCTAAAACATTCAAGCATAACAAATACACTCATACACATACATATCGATGAAAGCCTAAACACTTTGGCAATATAACAATAGTTTGGCCCACACTTTTTGTTCAACTTAATGCTTTGTGTTGAGTTGAAAATATTTTCGGAAAAATAGTTTTAAGCTATGGTATATTTGTTTGAGGTTTCATTTCATATTGCTTAATGCAATGTCTTTTAAGTTTTTCAGTTTAAAAAAAAGCTAATATAATAAAAAGGTAATAAAATAAAACATAAAATACTGGGTAAATGTATTAATAAGAAGTGTATTTTAAAGTATTTTAAGCTTTGTTCAATGTGCTAATAACAGTACGGATACTAATGGATACAAAAAATGTTATGACAGTTTTCAAATGCTCACAATGCAATGAAAACAAACGAATTTACATATGCCGACGTGATATTTTCTAAAACAATTTCCTTTGTACAGTTAAAGTAAGTTTTTTCACATTCATATGTGTTATATGTATTTATGCAAGTAGTTGTTGTAAATGTTGTGCTTAATATTCCGGTGTCTTGCGTGTGCGTGCGTGTGTATAGGTGTTTATGCGTGACGTGCTTTACTCGCGTTTACGTCTATTTTGCTTGCTTCGGTATAAAAGTCCTTACTTTGCATTTTAAAATTCTTATTTCAAAGTCTTTTCATGCAATTGTTGTTTGAAACTTCCCTTTTCTCTTTTGCTCATCAATATTTCACTTTTTGGCGCTGTCAGTAGCTTGAATTTCGTCTCACCCACCTTGGCGTGGTCTTTGTCGCCGACTACGTTTCCGGTCAGCTCCACCACTTGTCTGTAAATGTTAGTAGCATTTATTACTACTTAGCATGTCCATTGCTCAGCACTGCTGGCAAGACGTTTGCTTGTTGCACCACCGCATTGATCACTTCGATTTCTTTCTTCAAAAAAGCGCCACTCTCCTCGACACCGTTTACTAGCTTGTCAATAGTCTCGTTGCCACTACCGCCGCTTCCTGTTGTCACATTTGCACCGATTCCAACACGTTTGCGTAGGCCATCTTGTGATATGGGTATTGTGGGAAAGTCGCGATTGCGCATCAAATCGTTTTTCAACTCAACGATGCCGCTAACCGTTTCCGCTACAGTCTTATCAATGAATTCTTCAATGTTCTTTGTCTCCGTTCCGATCTTTTCCTTGATCTTATTACCTAATTGGTCCATTTCGCACTCTTCGTGCTTCACACTGACCGCTTCGCGTGCGCACGCTACAGTGGGTAGCAGCGATGCCGGTTGTGGTGCATTGATGTTCGACTTTGACGCTGGAGCGCTGAGGTTTTCATAGTCGTCGTTGAGATCGTTACTATTGCCTTGAGGTATTTTTGCTGTGATGTCATTAAGAACGTCCTCTACAGCTGTTTTTGCCGCCGGCAATGAGACGGTGCTGAAGTTGTTGGACTTGATATCTTCTTCACTTGAGTTTTGTAATTTTTGTGGGGTGCGTTCTCGGCGTTGTTCGCCGCGTATGTATTTGGGTAAAATAAAAATGGTAACCAGTGCAGCTATATGGAAACACAAGTAATATTTCAGGTACAATTTAATGCTGCCCTGTAGTCGGAGTGGAAGAAGAAGAAAATAAATTATTTCATTAGTTATGCGAGGTATGGTGCATGTAGAACTTGAATGAATATGCTGCTTCAATATCAAATAACTTTTCATTTGGGCTTTTCAATATCGCGAACTTATGATTTTTCTTTCCTTTGGATAATAAGATATATGATATGCCTATTATATATATATATATTTATGGAGTTGTTTTGATTCAAAAAAAAATTAACATTATGATTTTGAAAGCGTATTTTTGGAATTGTGATATTTACAGTTAATGTTTTTTGTTTACATAGACTTACCATAAATTCAAGCAGAACAAATGGGAATGTTGTATAACCCATTACTAGGCGTGTAGTTAGGCATGTGAGTATGTCATAGAACATACGCGTGAATTGAGTGCGCTGGAAGCGATGACGGAACATGCGACGAGCCTATGAAAATGAAAACAAAATGTTGATAGGTCTCCGGTTTTCATAATGCTGCTTGACACAGAAATTAGCTGAGGCACTTACCACACGCGCAGCGGTTACCATCAGCGCACCGGTGGCAAATGTCACGTAATAACCAGGATAGAAACCGTGCCAGACCGCGCTCAAAGCGAATGTCAACACAGTACCGTATTTCTTCGGCACACGCTCATAAACAATGGTGCGCAACCAACGATTTGTACCGCAGTTCCAATTGTTGATAGCGTCGCGCATATTTGTGGCAAACTGCAAAGAAATGAAGAATAACTCACATGTGGTAAATGAATGTATGTACTACTCGAGATATATACCTCAAAACCGAGCACATTAATATTCGATATTAAATCCCATTTTGAGTTGCCATCCTTGTCGTATCCGGTGAAGCCCAGACCTGAATTATTGCAAATAGCATCGGCTAGTAGCCATGCGTGATAATACTTAAAGCGTATGCATGATGTGGCCATCATGGTGTACCAAAATTTGTACGCCATCGAGCTGGTATTCACAAAGTCCTCCTCCTTCATGTTCTTAACGGGATACATTTTCACAAATTTCATAAATATAAATGCACACACCATACTGCCGATGACCTTCTTGATGACCGCCTTGACGGGGGAGGGCTCCAACACCAACTCTGATTTGCCATTATCTAAATTACCCTGTGCAACAAGAAGGAAACATATAAATAATCAAAAGATGTGCGTACAAATGTAGAAAGTAATGTTTATGTCTATATGTCTACAGATAGATGTGCAGAGTTCCTAAATCCGCAAATTTTAACTTAAAAAAAATCTGATATAGTTTGGAACGTCTTGCAGTGGTGGTCAGTAATTTCGGCAAAATCTAATTCCTATCGAAATTCAACATATACGAGTCATTGTGAGTAGGATACATTCAGGATAAGCGTTTCATGAATTTCGAACATAGATAAAGATAATGGTACTA